TAAAACATCAGCTTTTTTTTATCAAAAGAAAAGTTTATCTTCGGAAGCGTTCTAAATTTGCACTTCATCAATTTTTATCCTTACTTGTACTTATAATTTTGTGTGATTAAGTGATTATTGAAATTATTTTAGTTCTTCGACGAATTAAAATAATTTAATACTAAAAACTTATTCCTCAATATTACAAGTGTCATTTTTGCACTCCAAAGTAGTGAAATGAGGCATTTTTCTACGATTTTCGAGTTTTTGCGCGAGCTAATTGACACGACCATAACGTATAAAGCTAAAATCGTGGACTGAGCTCAAGTTGGGCAAGCACTTGTACTGTACTTATGGTTCTGTGAGCCCGACCATCTACGGTGATCAGCTACCACTTCGTTTATAGTGTGCTCACGTGCCCCCTATGTGCACGGGTCTTTACTAATAAGATTGGCTATGTGATCCACGTGAGAGCGCACGACCACTACCAACAGCGGAGTTGAAGCAGTTGCCGTAGCCGTAAACGGTCAGGAGAATGTTACATAATTACATTTTTTTTTTTCATTTGTATTGTAAATTTGACCTAAAATGATAAACCAACAATTTACCGACGTCCCAACGGTTTGCATTATGGTTGGATTGGATGAGGAGATCCCCGGTTTGAATTGAATTTCACAATATTTGACCATCACGGTATTCAATTATTTTTGTGAAATTACTCGACTAGTTTGTAATAATTATTTATTAATACAAAGATCGTGTTCGACTTAGAAAAAAATCTTTGATCCGGCTAGATTCGAACCAACGTTTTCCAGCAAACCGTGCCAGACGCTATGCCAACTAAGCCACAGAACGAACTAGCGGACCTTACGATTACAATTTTTCTATGTGCTTGTGGAAGAGCTTCGTTTTTAGTTTTTAACGACTTTCTTGCCGTAGCGCCATCTGTGCGAAATCTACATCTTTCTAAATTAGTTTTGGTGTGAGTGTTCCGAGTAGTGTTCCAGTGAATTCCGTTATTCTGGCACTCATAGAACAGAGAATTCCCTGTTTTGAGACCAGGCAATTGGTGTGGTTGTTTGGCACATTATATTATTATTTCGGATATCTATTTTAAACTCTCGCCTCTCCCATGGCCTAAAAGATTAATTTTGAATTTTTAAATGGGAGAGGCGGTATTCCCCGTCACAATGGCACAGCCGGGGTCAGGGACTCAGGCTCAAGAATCGGCGAAAAATACGGGCCGTATCGTGCAGGACTGCTTTCTGAATTTGTGCTGGAAGCGACACGCTTCAAAAATCCAACCGCCTTATTATTTTATATTAATGAAATAATGTCAACATGTACAGGCAAGAAAAAGAAACTATCACCTACTCCGAAGTCCTCCGAAACGGATAAACAGAACCAAGAGAAAAGACAAGAGAACAACGAAGGAGGAGGCATCAAGAGGAGCCGGTCGCAACGCTCTGTAGTTGATGTCGATAGAGGTAGGTTTTATCGCGTTTAAATTTTCATTGAATATCAACATCGTAGTTCCCATCACAATGTCGTTATTCAAATGCTCAAAAGCGGATCGACATGAATATTATTTTATACATTACAAGTATAGGCAGTGGTTGACATTCAAACCCTATCAAACTAAAGTGTTTAGGTTATTATCGAAAAAAAACGACAATTCTATAAACACCGAAATAAGGGCTCGAATATCTTTCCTTATTTCTCCTATTGTAGTAACTCCTGCCAACTTGCCTTATCCCAAACTCTTATATTCACAGCACGTAAAGCCAAAGCGGAGGCGACAACCAAGAAACAGCAGTCCCCACCAAAACAAAAAAAATCTCCTCTAGAAGATCTAGACGTCTCCAATGTAACGATCCGGAGATCTGGCAGAGGCGTACCATCGCAGTCCAGTACTGATTCTAAAGCTGGCAATAAGAAAAAAGGCGCTGGTAAAAAAGGGAAACAGCAAGGTAAGAATATGATCAAAGAATATAATGCTATGAATTATAGAACGACCACCCCTTGCCGAAACGAAATAAACTAGCAAACATCGCCGTGGAATATTAATCAACACACACTAAGCATAGACTTCTCAGGTTTCTGCGACTGTTACAGATGAACAATGAAACTAGTAAACAAACTATTCCAATAACTTGCTGTCACAACCCAAAAGTTAATAAGTAAACGTTGTATTGTGTTGTAAATACAAAACAAAACCATACAATTGGCCTTTGAACTAACTAAGAATAAGAAAGCAGTGTTGCCAACCAGACTAAAGCAAATATCACTAAACAGAAGGTTTAAATGTTGCTAGATGTCGCTAAAACTGTATTTCCATTCCATATGGTACCCATTATATGGTCCATTTAATTTGCCAGAACTTTATGGTCATAGCACAGCACCAAATTTTTTGTCGCTAAATAGAAAGAAAATGACGCTTTTGATATCAAAAGGGTAAATGTAAATGTCAATATTGGGTCGTGAAACACGGAATTTGGGGGTAACAAAATAAAATACCCGATATGTAGTAAAATATCAAAGAATGAAAGAAGAAACTGATGGGCTATTATTTGCTGATCAACGACAGAGAACAACGACCTTTTAAAAGTACAATATGTGCTGAGTACCTCCTTGTAGTTGTCTCCAAACAGCTGTTGTTTTTATATATTTTAGGGTTGACAACACAACTTTTCAAGCAAATCTTTGTCATTGAATAACTCGGAAACTATTACACTTTAGAGCAAAAAAACTTTTAATACAATGAAGTCTTAAATATATACTTAACAGTTTTCGGCTTTGTCGGTCATAACCAAATTGACTAATGAAAATAATTAGATTTTGCGTTTTTTTTACTATGAAAAGTCATTAAAGAGCTCAAAAATCTCAAAATCAAAACATTATGTAAACATGTTTTAAATATTTTATACTGATATTTTCTTGTCGTAGATGTTCTTCCCAATCAAACAAAAATGCAATAATCTCATTTTTTTATCGAAATTACGCTTAGTGACATTTACCTTTCAACCGTCGATATAAAGATAAAAAATATTTTAAAAAATCATAATCGTCACAAATAAAAGATCCCGTATTTATCGCAGAAGCAAAGTCAAGACCTGCAACGCGAGCGTCGGTATCATCACGCAGTAGTGCAGGCAGTGTACACTCCATGTGTGATAATTCGGCCGATGAAACCGAGCTGCATACTATCGTTTATGAAAATGAATTTGTAAGTAATAACATGCTTTATTTACAACTTCCACATCTACAAAATGGCCTTACGCTACGAGTCGCGTGGTTTGGCGCCGCTAATCTAACGCACACACTTATAACCCCACGCTAAACCCACGCTATCCACGCTAGTATAGCGAATGCCATGAACCTACACATAACACAATCACAAATTCACCCAAACTCACGCGAGAAATAAATGTAGCCCATACAAATATTGACATTACTGCTTGGCGGCAGAAACAGGTAAGGTGGCAGTGCTACCCTGGACGAACTCTTTCACAAGGAGCTCTACTGCTACTACTATCATGGTTCTAATATCACGTAATGGAATCGAATAACGAAAATAACGAAAAAAAGAAAATAACTTCGGAATGGAATCGAATTTTTGTAACCATAGCATAATTAACTTATTGTCAATTGTGTAAGGTATAAAACTCGAGTTGAGTAGTTTTAAGCTGTTGTGTTGGTCTTTTTTATGATACCAAGTGAGACAAGACAAACAAGTCGTGCGCCTGGTAATAAACAACACGCCTGTGTTCCTCTTAGATAAATAACAAGACGCGCGTTTTTCGGAGAATTCACGCATAGTCTAAGGAACTTTCCCAGCTACCGTATCGTATCTAGTTTATACGTAACACAATTGACATGAAGTTCATTATGCTATGTACATTTTTATTACAAAAATTCGCTTCCATTCCGCTCCGCAGCAATGTAAATTTAGCCCAATGATAACGTTTATTTCACACATTAATAAAAAATTACATCCGTTGCCTAAGTAAAAAGTTACTAGGTAAATAAGTAAAACATCTGTGCCTTAGTAAAATAGTGTTTAACGTATTAACCTCTTACATTTGTTTGAAATGTGAGTTATGAAATTACTCTTTTATTTTAGGAACAAGAAATTCTCAATGACTCCAGCGAGCTGTGTGATAGCAAATGTAACTCGAAAACGAACGTTACTGTACCCGAAACTCCAGAAGACTCAGAAGAGTAAGTAATTTAACTTATTCAAACTTCCATAATGAGAGCCTCTATGTAGATTAATGACGCAATAAACTTTAGAGTTTATTATTATTTTATTATTTTGAGTTTTTAGTCGACAGATTTTAGAATCTGTCGAAAACTTTATATGTTAAATAAAGTTTTCGACATTCTTACAGTGTGTACTTGTTATGTCGTTTAAAACTAAGAAACAATCTTACTGGACGTTTTCAGACTTCTAAAAATAAAGCCCTATCAACAATTATCCTTTGTTCTCAGATCTGAATCAGAATCAGCACACGAACCAACAAAAACGAAGAGCAAAAGGAGTGGGAAGAAAAAGTAACTAGAGTTATCTACAAATAAAATAATATAACTTATAGTTCATTAACAATTAAATTTATTCTTACTTGAAGCATCTTTTAATTCAGACGTGCAATACATTCATTATAAAAATAATGTACCACCTACTTACAAGCAGATGATTGCACTCATCTGAATAAAACTAGTTATGCTTACGCCTAAAGTGACTTCCCACGATCCGTAATATTACGGATTAACACGCACGAGCACACAACAGCGCACCATGATAAAGAGGCTCGACCATGGTTACAAAGACTCGTCCACATGGAGTTGGTAACTTCAAAGGTATAATGCGAGATATTGAATAAATAAGAGCTGCAGTTGCAGCGATACATTTTTTTTTCATTTCACATTTTGCGATGTCAAAATAGCTGCGAATCACGCACCCACACAAACGGACATGCACAGATGGAAGAACCTTGATACGACTCGTGGGTGCTCGAGTTCGTCGGCGTGGTATCTGTGAAATCACGCACCTTAGGAAGCCACATTTATACATTAAAATTATCGTTAAACGCAAAGGTCTGACTCTCCAACATACCATTTTTTTGTAATGTGAAACCAAAGATAGAAGGAATACATTTGAAAGTACCTAACGGAAGTTCAAATAATATTAAAAAGTTACTGTCTAAAATTATAAAGTATGTAAAGATATATCGAGTTCTTAGGTTTGCGCGATTGTTACACATAGGAAATGAAACTATTTTCCCGGTCACAAACAGAGTAAAGAGCCCGAAATTTCGGTTTGTTTGAAAAAACAAATATACGCTGTTTAATACCGGAAAAATAGTTTCATTTGCTATGTAAAGATATATTAATTTTCTTATTAATGTTCTTGTTAATTAGTAGAACTTTTTCTACTAATTTACTGTCAAACTACTAATTATCCAAACGTCAATGACGCGACACGGTTTCAGGACTGAAAATTAACTTGTACGATTATTATATTAGACAACGTCACCTACGTTGCTCTGATTCCAAAGTAAGTAGCTAAAGCACTTGTGTTATGAAATCGGAAACAACGACGGTACCACAAACACCCACTACCGTTAAAAAATTTAGTTTTTCTACACTGGCCCAGCCGGAGATCGAACCCAGGACCTCAGAGATGACACCATGTAAATCGGTGTTCAAGCCACTCGGTAATGCAATTAATAAATATATTTGTAGTTTGTAATCAAATCACAGCCCATGACAATCCTTACGCCGGGTACTCATTACTGTAAATTGTAACGTGATAAATACAGTAACGAGGTTCTATAGTCTGTCTTTTTAGAAGACGGAGTAAAATGACATTTGGGTTGGCAGTTTTCATAAAATTTTAAATAGTTATGTAGTTGTTGTCGATAGTTCTATCGACAGAACGTGAAAGAAGATAAAATTTTGCGAAAATGACTGAATTGTGAATGTTACAACATTCTAATGATTACTAATTACGTTATTGCCTTCTATAGTCTTATTTTTACAAGTACCTACTAGAATCGGTATCAATTTTTACTCATATATACATTATGACAAACAGCCTCATTTGATTATCTATATTAAATTCAAATTAAAAACAAAACACATCTCCTCTTTGTATTTTTCATGAACATCGTTCTAAATACATTGTATGTATGTATGAACTTACAAAAATTGTCAATTCAAATGAACTTTGTATTCAGTAATTGGATGAATAATGGATCGAGGATGATTCAAATGAAACAAGTTCGACTATTTATTCCATAAGCGTAACCAATATTCAGTCGATAGTCAATATTTTATTTACTCGACTGCAATCACTAGCTGCTCGCAAACGGGCAACACAATGAACTGTCATTTTACTTCGTCTTCAAAAAAGACATAAGTACCTGGTTATCGTAACCACGAACACACTATGATTTTTAGTAGCATAACGTGCAACGGTTACAGCTTGCTAGTAAGTACCCGGCTTAACACCGACTGGTCTTCCTGGCTGGACTGGCAGGACTTATCCCGCGAGGCCTTACTTATCCCGTCTGGCCTTCCTTATCCAGATAGAAAAATATAATTTTTCATTGTGATTTAGCCACAAATACATCTAAAAGTGTCGTTCTAATAAATTCGCGATCTCTTAATTAAACTGTCCAAGCCATTTTAATATAAACTAGAAATGAAACATCTATCTGCTGTATTGCGAGGGATATTGTCCATTCTTCTTATCCCAATTGTTATTCTGAGGGAAATCATAAGGTTTATGGTTCCATTGTTGCCATTTCTGATCCCAATTTGGGCGCCAACTCCAGTTTGGTTTATTCGATTGGTTGTCGTCTGTTAACTTGTCATCCTTGGCCTCGTTGCTTTCGTAACCTCCGAATCCCCATCTGTGAATGTGTTTAAGGTCCTATTTAGGAGCTTTTTATTGTTTACTTAAACAATAAAAATTTAAATCATTCTTCTCTTTTATATTTTAGTCATGTAACGTAAAAATTGGAATCAAATAAAGCAGCAGTTATATACATACATACTCCTCCAAATAAAATCAAGGCCTTTTGAAAAGAAAATTTTAAGCGGGAATATTTTTTGTGTATGAAAAGCATAATTATTTGACGAGTAACAGTAATGAAAACTGCATATCTTAGAAAGTATGGTTTAAGATATTTATTTCTCAAAATAATACTAATTCACTTAACGAGAAATACAAGGTATCATAAAACGTCTACAGAGAGTACGTGCTAACAAAATATTCAAATGAAGGCTTACAATTAAAATTTGGTGTTCTAATATAATAATAAGTAAAACAAAACCAAGATCATTTCTATAACACCAAGTGACGTGACGAACAAGTCTTGCGCCTGATGGTAAGCGACACGCCTATCTATAACAGTTGCAGTGCCACTCACTTTAAATCGCAAAAATCTTTTGGGTACTGTCACTACGCCCATCGTCCTGAGACATAAGTTGACAAGTCCCATGTGATTGTAATTAAAAACTGCCTCCGTGGCCGAACGGTTACCATGCCGGACTGCCACGCAGAGGTCCCAGGTTCGATTCCCGGGCCGGGAGAAATAGTTGTATGGCCTACAATTATTTCTCTCGTGGGTTTGGGTGTAATTTGTGGTTGTCTATGTGTGTGTCCATGGCACCCGCGACACAGGGTTTTCCCTAGTGCGGGGCTATGTTGAGTGTGTGCGTTATTAAAAATAAAAAATTGTACCAGGTCATAATCAAGTATTGCATAATTGCCATAGTGACACTTTAACAGCAATTACATATAGAAATAAAAACTGGGAATTAATTTATTTTTTAATAAAGTAGATTCACATAACTCTTCGAAGACGAACTATGACTTAAGGAGACCTGTACGCAGCAGTGGATCGTATTGGAATAAAAAAATGTATAAGCGTGTAGAATTAGTCACCTTAGTTCACATAAGGTTTGCACTATTTAAAGCCTTGCATGTGCATTTTGACTATTTACTAAGTATATAATTTATAAGTGTGGTGATAAAATGTGCTATTGTAAACTGTCGGTTACCCGCACAGGATCTCGTAGGGAGTGAGCTTACGGAGATGAATCTTTTCGATGTACACGGAATTATGACGAAGTCTGTAACGGGATGTTCACAGAATCTCGGGGAAGGTAAAATCATAGTAGGATAAGACCAAGTAGGTTAACTATCCATGTCGTGGTGAATATGCACCGACCCCACGGCGCGACTCAACCGGCGGGAGGTAAACCCAGGGAGGGAGAGTCCCCCCATAACCCCTGAGTCTCCCTGTGCTCAGGGGTATCTATAAAGATTTCCCCCCCGTAAAAAAAAGGTTAACTATTCACAACAGTTGCAGTGCCACTTAGAGCTTTTAATCGCAAAAGTCTTAAGGGCACTGCCACTGTCCCCGTCACCCTGAGACACAAGGTTGACAAGTCCCGTGTGCCTGTAATTTCACCAGCACCCTTACCCTTCCAAACCGGAAGGTGAGGTGGTAGTCATTCCCTGAACGAACTCTCACAAGAACCTCTACTGCTAATATCAATATGTAAGTATAGCATATAATAAAGGTTATGTCGTACTATACTATAAAAACAAGGTGATGAATACCTTTTTTTTTTTTCAAATAATGTCTACAACTTGTAAGTACAACTAAAATAATAATGTGACAACCCTAACTCAGCTCCTAGCAGACGGGTGTTGCCCTACTTGGTCTTATTATGCTATGGTAAAATATTATTCACCATACTGGTGAAAAATAAGAACAATAAGAGACAGAGCTGCATATAAGCAACCAATAAGTAGGCCATCATTATGACATCTCCACGCCGCTGTATAGTCAAAAAAAAAATTGGTTGCTAAAACACAGCCCTTCTCCGCTCACCTTTATTAGATAATAAAAGTTATTTTATCATTAAAATAGTAAATGATACTACAAACTCTACATTTGATATCTACAAAATGTACAATACTTGATTCAAACTACAACCGTCATCCAACAATCCAGCCAACTACAAATCTACAGATATAATGCAAAATTAAAACAATGACCTGTAACACATAAGTCGTGATAAAAGTAAATATGGAATTGTGACTTAAACAAGAGATAGAAATTGTATCTTACTTATCGCGATTGCCTTCATTATTATTCGCATTATCTTGGTTATTGTTTATATTGTCTTCGTTACTAGCATAGTTTCCTCTATTGTCAGTATCGCTGCTGTCAAAGCGATTGCCCAAGTCTGGTTGTTGTGGCTGGTTCTTTGAGCGTTGATAACGTTTGATAATGAAGTCTGCTGCTCTCTCACCTATCATAATTACTGGCGCTGCTGTGTTACCTGAAACATATGCAATGACCGTTTGTAATAGTCGCATAAAATTTAATTATTGCTAACCGAATTTCAACTTTTTTTTATGATACTAAGTGATAGGACGAACAAGTCTTGCGCCTGATGATAAACGACACGCCTGTCCATAACAGTCGCAGTCCCATTCAGAGCTTTAAATCGCAAAGATCTGAGATGCACTGCCTCTGCGCGCATCACCCTGAGACATAAGTTGATAAGTCCCATGTACCTGTAATTTCACCAGCACCTTTACCCTTCAAAACCGGAACGAAGTAATGCTCACTTTACTGCTTGGAAGCAGAAGTAGCTAAGGTGGCAGTACTTCCCTGGACGAACTCTTAAAACACACACATCCGCACTAGAGAAACCCTGTATCGTGGATGCCATAGACACACATGTAAACAACCACAAGTTACTCCCGAACTCACAAGAGAAATAAATATAGGCCATACAAATATTTTACCCTGCTCGGGAATCGAACCCGGGACCTCTGCGTGGCAGTTCAGCAAGATAACCGTTCGGCCACGGAAGCAGTTGACTTCAAAAAACGAAGAGGTTCTCAATCCGTCTGATTTTTTTTTGTCAATATTACGAGATTACTCTGTCATTTATTAACCGATTTTTGATGATTCTTGTTGGAAAGGGGGCGCCTCAGTAATGGTCCCATTGAAATTTGAAGAAAATATTCCACCTCTATAAGGGTGGCAAATTAGGGAATGAAATGTTAACAGATTTCAATAAAACTTGGCAAATAGGCGTAATTCCAGAAAATTCTAAATTTCGTTTTTTTATAAAAAAAATATCTATTTATTATTTAGAGATTGAGTTTCTCGTACCTGTTGTGACCGTTGGGATTATTGATGCATCAGCTACTCTTAAACCTGCAAGAGACAGTTGAAAGTTATTGTCATACATAACCAAAAAAATATTTTAATGATCTATATACAAAAAAAATAACGATTATATGTAAATAATGAAGAATTTGATATTATCGACGTGTTCATGTTTGCAACACAAATATTATAATAAAGGGTTTTCCAACAAGAACTTTGTGAACGTTAAGTTACACAGCCACCGAAACAATGAATTTATTGCAAATTTCCCGATCGCATAATTTCACGAAATACAGCCATTAAGTGGCTAGCTCGAACATGTGATTTAACATCGCTGGATTATTTTTTATGGGGTTATGTTAAAGACAGAGTCTATACGGAGCCAATCGAATCGATTGCAGCCTTAAAACTCAAAATTCATGGAGTGATTAACGAAACACACCTAGCATTTTATCAAAAAGTGATTAAAAACTTTGATGAAAGAATCGACATCTGTAACTGTTGTGATGGACATTTATCAGATATCATTTTTCGTTCATAATTGCCAAAGCTTACTTTTTTAATACAATAAAAATTTGTATTATTGTAGTCTAAATTTATTGTTTTATTTTGATTTGCAAAACAAAGCTCATGTTGAAAAACCCTATATAAAAACAAGGCCACACTGTTCCTTCTTCCAACTTTAACAAGGAATTATTCTTTGTGTTTGTTCTATTTTTTTATGATCCCAAGTGTAGGAACGAACACGTCATACACCTGGCGGTAAGCAACATGCCTGTTCATAGCAGCAATGATATTAACCCTTCAAAACTGGAACGCAGTAATGCTCAGGTTATCACTTGGCGGCAAAAACACGTAAGGTGTCAGTACTTCTCTGGTCAAACTCTTTCACAAGGAGCTCTACTGTTACTTCACAAACATCTTCACAGTAATAATAATAGTCGATTATCTTACCTTCTACACCAAAGACTTTAAGTTCAGTATCAACAACAGCCATAGGGTCGTCATCGGCTCCCATTTTGCAAGTCCCGACTTGATGATTCTCAGCTGCCGTGTCATGCTTCGCTATACATTTGATGTATTCGTCTGATGGACCTGTACCGCCATCCCCACACGGTCCTTCTGGGTCCGATACAGGTACCATGCCGTATTTTTCACGCATTATCTGAAAAAACGTACATAATTCCAATGAAAACAACATGTTATGATAATTTTTAAGTTTATTGAATGGGACGATGTTTTACTACTATGATATTTAATTACTTTTTGTGAAATTACTCCACTACTTAGTTTGTCATAAATATTATAACAAAAATCGAAACATTAAGAAAAATTCATTAGATCCATCTGGAATCGAACCAGCATTCTCGGGCAATGCCGTGTTAGATGTTCCGCCAATTGAAACCGGGTTTACATTTGTCTGACGTGTCGTGACGCGACAGAACGCTATCGGTTTCATACATTCAGCACAAGTCAAATTGCGACACACTAATATAAATGTAACCATATTAATGAAGTAATTCATAAAGGCTTGTGGTTTAGGTGCTCCCAGAGATCGCTAAATTCCCTGCGCGTCCAATATAATAACGTGTTAAGGATGATGTTGAGACTACCCCAGCACTGCAGCGCCTCCGAGATGTTTGCTTTGGCCAATAGGAATTGCTTTTGTACCGTTTTGTTTTAAAAATTAGCACCGTTTGTTAGAAAGCTCCGGGGGAGTAACAACAACATCCTGAAGGTTGTGGCAGAGAACCACAGAGCGCCTGTACTGACAATACGTACGGACAATATTTCCGCACGAGATGTCTCGTAAGTCCAAGACGTTTTAGATCTTAAGAATTAAGTAATATGTTAAATAATTTTCCTACTAACAATAGCCTATAAGTTTTTTCCCTGTTATACTAACACCAATGGGTCCAGTTATCTGAAAAATAAATATTTTGAATTTAAATTTTAATTAAATGTATGAAACCGATATCGTTCTGACGCGTCACGACACGACACGTCAGACAAATCTAAATCCGGCTTAAGACACGGAACTAACCAGCGTCTGTTGGTTCGTTAGGTGAATTTTAGTTTCCGTAGTGGTTTTTAACGACCTTTTTTCCGTAACGCTATTTGCGACAAATTTATTTCTTAATTCAGAGAGGTATCTTTACAGCGACTATCGCTTTATAGAGACGTCACTTTAATCATTTTCATTTTTAGTTTATTGAATGTCACAAATGTTTTACTACCATCTCATGGTAATTTAGAGCCGATTTGATGATTGAAATAGCAGACAGATGAGAGGAACTCCTCAACAATATGCAGCAGCTATCTTGTGTTTGGGCTCATGTGATTCATTTTGACGTTGAGACCGCGGGAACGAACACAGCGAAATTGGATAAGCAAACTTTTAGTTTTTTTTTTATTTATTTACGTAACAATTTGGCTGTACAAAGTTTTCGAAATATCTTACCGTTGAATTGGCCAATCTGTAAGTGATCTTAACCCCTTCTACCAAGATGTCGAAATCACGCTCGTCATAGAAATAGTTAGGTTGCATCACTGGGGCAACCGTAGGGTCTACAGATTTGATAGTGAGGTATCCACGACTCTTGGGCATTAGGTTTACTACGGAGATCCTGAAAATTGTAAACTTTTCAAGTCTGATCTGTGAAGTTTGTGATAGATAAAATAGATATGTATAAAGAAAATCAAATTTTTGTAAACTGTAAACAATTTATAGTTTAGCATTATAATGAACAATAAATATTAAAAGTAAATTAAATCTGGTGGAAGATGTAGCGTCTGTCCATACAGTTGCATTCACTCATGCACTCGTGAAAGAGTTCGTCCAGGGAAATACTGCCACCGTACCTATTTCTGCCGCCAAGTAATATTATCAGCATTACGGTGTGAGCTGGTGAAATTACAGGCACATGAGACTTGTCAACTTATGTCTGAGGATGACATGCGCAGTGGCAGTGCCGTTCAGAAATTTGCGATTTAAACCTCTGAGTGCAACTGTTATGGACAGGCGTGTAGCTTACCATCAGGCGCACGACTTGTTCGTCCCGTCACTTGATATATATAATAAGAAAAAAAATTGAAAACTAGTACCGGCGCTAAAGTTCAACCTTGTCTTGAAACGTTCCTCGTAATATAATGTCTCGTAATTTTAAGACACAATAAGTACGACTATATAAATAAGACACCAGCACCCTTATACTTCAAAACTGGAACACAGTAATGCTCACATTACTGCTTGGCCGCAGAAATAGGTAAGGTGGCAGTACTTCTCTGGACTCACTCTTCACAAGGAGGTCTCTACTGCTACTAATACGAGTAGATAGATGTCTCTCCTATTTAAGTTTAATATCATGATGTTATTGTTTTTATTTATATGTATATATTATTTTTATCACCATGATATTGATGTTTTTTGAGAAATTACTCCACTAGTTTGTTATAATTAACCAACTTAAAAAAAAAGGAGGAGGCTTTCAATTCGACTATATATTTTTTTGTTACATACAAACGCGATAACTCCGATAACTTTGTAAACCGATTTTGATGATTGTTTTTTTTTTGTTGGAAAGAGGGTACCTGAGTAGTGGTCCCATTTAATAATATTTTACCTCTAAGGGTGGCAAACTAGGGGATGAATGACTTTTGAGGTCGGTTTTTTAGTATTCTGTACTGAAAAATACGAACGCAGAGAAAAATTCCCCGCCGTCGACTAACTAAAACGAGGCTAAGTGACAAAATATTTTTTTGAGATATGATAATGATATAGATAAAAAAACCATAACCCAGTTTTAGAATATTGAAATTGTTTAATGATATTTCAGGTATGCATCGTTAGGGAAGTTCCACACGATAACTAATTTTAACTGTTACAAAAGAATTTTGTGCTCTATCTTTTGTTATTTAAAACGGATATTTGACCACTTACGAGTAGCTGCGTTTCATTAGTGGACGGCAGTTCCTTCGTTCTGACAGAATTCGAAATTGCGTTTGGATATCAAACAAGGGCTACATTGTCAAGACTGTTCCGTATTTCATAGCTTGTTTTAGATTCTTTACTTACTGTAAGTCCCTGCCTTTGTCGCCCGGTTCATTGTGAAGTCCGTCGCTGCAGTCAGCACTGTATCCATAGAAGAAGAACTGTAGATCAGGATGGCGACCGCCGGCTGGCGCATATTTAGAATTTACCAAACCCGTCAACTGAAATAGACACAATACTATGTTGTGATTTGTTCAAACACAGAAATCAAAATTTTTAGAACACCTCTGTTTTGCTATTTTGATCGCATATGGATTTAGAAAATGAAACTATTTTTTCGAATATAAGCCGCGTATATTTGTTTATTCAAACAATCAACATTTCGGGCCTTCCATAAGTGGCAGTATTTCCCTGGACGAACTCTTTCACAGGGAGCTCTACTGCTGCTAAAATATTGGCATAAAGTTCATTAGGTACGCTATGTACAATTTCGTTATACAAAATCACTTTCATTCCGCAGGAACATAAATTAAGCCTTAGTCCTTGCAGATAGTTCGAAATTTTAATAGAAATTATGGTCAACTTCCTCCATCTGTTAGGACGCCTTCAAATTGCACGCTTGTAAAAGCGCTGCAGTGCCGCAACTGTGGCGCTACAGCTGCGCTTCTTAATTTTGCCCTTATTTTTAAACGCATTCAAAAAAGTAGGAGGAGGTTCTTAAACCGATTGTATTTTTTTTGTATGTATTTACGCGATTACTCCATTTGTGCACCGATTTTGATGATCTTTTTTTGTTGTAAAGAGGGTATATCAGTATTGGTCCCATTTAAATTTGAAGAAAATACTCCACGTCTAAGAGTGGCAACTAGGGGATGAATTTCTATAAACCTTGGCAAATACATCTATTTCGCGGCTTTCTTCCTGGAATTACATCTAATTCCAGAAAAAAAGCCGCGAAACAAACTTTTAATAGTCGGTTTTTTTAATAAAAAATGTTATATTATAATCATTGACTTACAAATAAATGGACGACGGGTCTAATACAAAAACCGCGAAAAAAATGTCCCAAGTCAACCTATTTAAACGTAGTGACATGTCAAGGTATATGAAAAAAGCTAAAACGTTGAATTTAAATTGTAATGTCATCGCAGTACTGTCTAATTTTGCTTGCTTCGCTGTCAGTCGAACAAACGAAGACTAGAGCTTGAATGACGCTCTGTATACGATTTTAACGCCCTATAAGTTCGGACACTTTTTAGCGCGTACCCGACGTCCATATAATTGTAAGTCAGTGATTATAATTAAGAAAAATAATATCAACTATACACTAGCGTCACAGTACATCTATGAAAATGTAATTTATGTTAAGAGGAATAGTAGGTAATCTCTTTATGAAAAATAGTGACAGACATAACACTAATACGAGGAATAAAAATAAACTAGCTGTTCCTGATAGTCGTCTTCACAAAGTCACAAATTCATTTAAGTAGTAATGTATTATACACTTCTGTAACAAGATTCCGGTTGTTATACAAAATTTGCCATTCATGAGATTTAAAACTATAGTGAAACAAAAACTTTACACTATAGGTTATTATACAACTTCTGCTATACTTGGATGACAAAAATCCGTTGTAGTAACCCGTTTAGCTCATGGAGGTAGTCTTGATCCAAAGATCGAATTTCTTTTTGCTTTCAAACAGCAGAATGTTTCAAAGGATAAAAAAATATATTGTAAATGTTGAATGCGCACAAATGTTATTTACAAAGAGCAACCCCTACAGTTTCTTGCTCTTTCTCCTCAGGGGAATCTGCCTTACGTATGAGCGGTAGAGTTTAACCAATGTCATGAGTTCAAGTGTAACAATGCTTACCTATGAAAGGAAGATTATTTTGATTTAATTTGAAAAAAAAACTTTTATTTTGATCCACGTAATCAAACGTCTTCATAAATAAAAAACAGGCTCTTGCGGATCATGTCGCTTCTTCCTCGATTACCTACCTGAGACATTCCAGTACTAGACAGGGGTCCTTCTCTCTTCAACATATAATCCATGGCAGTAGCCCAAGTGAGCTCTTGTAAATTAATTTCTTTAGTCAAATTGAAGTTAACTTTCACACCGACATGATTCTGCAGGTTCTGTCCTACTCCAGGAAGATCCTCAATTGTGGGAATATGGAACTTGTCCAAGGTTTCCTTTGGACCGATGCCTGAGAGAAGCAGAATTTGAGGGGAGTTTAGGGCTCCTGCTGAGAGAATTACCTAAAAGAAAATATATAGATAATTTGTATTACATGATTCCGTTATGTTACATAGTATTGCACATATATTTGTTGCTTATATCTTCGAAGAAAGATTTTCTAATGTAGTGTAAGTTGGAATGACGTCGAATAGAGCCGTGTCTTGCAGGGCAATATTAGCATAGATTGTATGTAATATAGCATTCTATTATAAAAGCTTACGTTCATCAGAAGGATAAAGAAACAGTCTTAGACTGATATATCATAAAACGAACTATCGACTTCGCTTAAGTAAAAATCGCGAGCTAAGTTTTCATATTTAAAAACGAACTTTACCTAAGTTTAATTGCCGCCGCCGTAATTCCCTGCTTAAGGTATGCAGAGTTCGTTTTGTAAATACGAGTACAAAAACTTAGCTCGCCATTTTTACTAATCGAAATACTTACTTAGTTCGTTTTGTAAATCTCAGCCTTAGTACTGTAACTAAAATCGTTTGATGATGCCGTTTATAGCCTAGGTAGCCCAATTAGTTAGCATTGTGGACATATAATGTCGTAAGTAATTTCCCGTAATGACGATGATGAATTTAAAAATACAACTTTTATCATTCCATTAATCATAGCACTGAAAAGTACATGTCATAAGTATCTTTAACATAAATAAAGGTCTTATGTCACATATTTCTTGAAGATTCTTGTAATTAGAGAAAAACATTACAGAGACCAGATAAACAACGCGATCGATATTTGAATAATAATGTCTGGCTCGTTTATTCTTCTTGTTAATGACGAACGAACTTACTTCTTTATTAACATTGACGATCTTCTTCTCTCCTCTGTTATTAATGTACTCCACGCCAGTGGCCTTCTTGCGTACAGGATCCACGATCACTCTGGAGACGAGCGCTCTAAACACGACGTGCAAGTTCTTGCGATGCGATGCTGGCCGAATGTAACCACGGGAGGTTGTATAACGAGAACCGTTACTGAAAACGTACAAAAATTAAATAAGTTCTACGTTAATTCAGATTATATTTTAAGTAAAAGTAACAAAACAAACAACAGAACCGAACGAACAATATGCAAAAAAACATTGACACAGAGCAATCAAAAAAATTAAATGTAATAGTTTATTTATGTCTGTCAGGTCAAATGGCCGGTCCGTAACAACCATAGATATAACAACTGTCAACTTTATGTCTTAGTATGACGGGTGCAGTGGCAATGCTCCCCAGATAGGTACGTTACGGCATTAAAATAAAGTTTATTATACTATATACAATTTCGTCACAATATCTTCCCTTCCATTCCGTTCCGCAGCAATGTAAATTGAACCTTTATTTTTCGCATTATCGTTCGCTCGCACTTGCATGCACAGTAAGTAGACTTCTTGGTAAACTCGTTTTTAAAATTACAATCGGTTACTAAAGTTAGAATAGATTACTAACTTGTTAAACGTCTGTGCAATAGTAAATCCAGTGACATTATCCCCGTTGAGGTCAGTCGTCGGAGGGTAACCCAGTTCAATAGATCCTGATACTATGTCATGTGCTAACCTTGGCACATAGGGGAACTGTGAAGATAGAAGGAAAACTATAATAATACGTAACTATTCTAAAATGATCCAACCTACAACATCGGTTAAAAGAAGAGATAACTATATATTTTAGAATATTTCTCTGAAAAATTACTTTTGATCGATTGAATTATTTCTCCCAATGGCAATTTTTTTAACCCAAAATCTCTCATCTCGGTATTTACAAGGCCCACTTGCATACCCGTCTAACTGGCATAGGTCCACCAGTATTATGATGCTCCTGTGAAACGACAGTCCCAATCTCCTTGTTATCTTCACTCATGAGGAAGTAAGGCATTACATCACTCCAAGACCACCCTTTAGCTCCGTTCACAGCCCAGCCGCCGTAGTCGGCTGGATGACCTCGCATATACATCATTCCGTTTATCGCTGAACATCCACCTAGAATAATAAGAAGGACACCATTTTACGGTCAATCGCGCAATCAAGCATGATCTCGTTCAAAGTTTTCAGTATATCAATTTCAAACTGCCAATTGTTTTTAGACAAATTTCTCAATTTCAATCAAGGCTACCTTAAATTTAATAATCAATTCAATAGAAATATACTTTATTGCATCCACATAAGCAAATATAGTACAAACAAACACAACAATAGCAATGCAACAGGCACTTTACAATACAATACAATACAATACAATACAATACAAACATTCTTTATTGTACACCAAAAAAGGAAACAAATACAATACAATTAAATTAAAAAGAAGCGGTGGTACACTATACTTATTAACAATACTAAATGAAGTTGAAGCTGTGCCGCGACAGCGCAGGCGAGTGCCACAACCGAATTTATTGGCGTTTCCGAACTCAATTTAGGTCAAATTTATGTAATATTTTTAGTTAAGTAAATTGGTGGTTTGTAATATATATTTTTTTTAATGAGTATTAGGGTTAATGATTGTTATCAAAAATGAAATTATACAACGAAAGTTTATATTAAACGTTCCATAAATTAAGTTAATTATTACATGAAAAAAGTTTATATTAAATAAAATTATATTAATTGAGCGTTAGGTTGAAAATATACGATTCATTACACACCCATTATCTACATTTTGATCTTTTCGCCAATTGTGTCTAATGTATCGATATGTATGTATGTTGTTAATTCATGCTATCAATGTTAAACTTAATTTTGGAAATATCCTTTCCTATCGGGCTATAAGCATACCAGTAACAAGGATACTTTGAGTACCTGCGAGATACTGGTTTCTTTAAACAATGTTCTGTACTCGATTTATGCTGCAACTAAATGGTGTTTCTTGGTTTTGTAAATCAATTTAAATGTAACGTACTTGCACAATTCGTTGAGAAATAAATTACTTACCCAACATTTTAGCTCGGGGCCAGTAGCATTTACCACCTTCCGCCCCACACGCCTTCTCCTGGGGTTCGGTGTAATAGTTCCAGTCTGTATCGTTCCTTAGCCAGTACGACGTTATGAAATGCGGTACAGAAGTCGGTACTGGCTCGTCGCCTCCTGCTTCCAGCACTAATACCTGGAATAAGGCAGATTAAATTTTACGTGACTCAAGCTTTCCTAGCGTAGCTATTAGGTACATAATAATACATAATAATAATAAAATGTTTAGTTCAGTAATACAATTAACATTACATTAACAGTGGATGGTACCTCCTATTAAGCTTATCAAGCCTGTGTCAAGAGGCACCACTCTTCCATAGCTACAAATGCTCATTTAACATTTTTAACTTGTATTTAATTTAGTGTTTAATTTACACATTTCCAAACAACGTCAAAACAAACAATTTTTTAACAATTTTCAACATTCTTGACTTCTAATTTTAAATTTAATTTCAATCTTAAACCGTAAATACGTATGTCTGTTTTTCAGTTGAATCAGAGGGTCTGCTCTCGTTCTCCGTCCGCCATCCGACGGAAACAATTATTGTCGAATAAGTAATACTCGACCAAATTAAAAGAAGACAAAGTGTGTTAAATTTTAATTACCTAATGCTAAATCGACTAGTCCAATCATAGAAATAAATGGAGAAAAGTTAGACCTTGTTAATAAAGCTGTCTTTTTGGGAGTAACCTTAGATAGTAAACTTCAATGGTTTCCACATATATATACGCAGTCCGCAGAATACGTGAGATTATCGATGTTGCTACTGCTAGACCAGTTTATTTTAGTTACTTCCATAGTATAATGTCCTAAGGGATTCTCATGTGGTGTAAAGCGGCAGATATACAAACCATATTTGTGTTGCATAAACGGGCGACATAATTTCATTAAGAAAGAACATTTCCATACCTAATATTAATCTTCGAACGAAGTCCAAACTCATGGTACCACAATTTCGTTTAACTAAGGTAAACGATTCTTTTATGGGGAATTGTATACGTTTTAACAATAAGATTCCGGAGTTTATATTAAGGTTAGCATTTCCTTAGTTTATAACTTACATTAAACGTATTTTAATTGAAAAGTCATATCACAAAATTGAAGAGTATTTGTTAGATAAAGATGTATGGAAAGACAACATGAGTCTAGATTTCACACAATTACGAGTCAAAGTGTATTTATTCCATAGCATATAAGTTTATTAGAAAAGAGCAATCCCTAGAGTTTCTTGGTCGTTCTTCTCAGGGAGGTCAGCGTAATGAGTGGTAGCTTAAAAAATTACGTTTTCGAGTGCAAAAATTTTACCTATGGAATAAACATCAATTCAATGAAAAATGAAATTTCTAGTTGTTTACTAATACTTTTACTTAGGCTTTACTATGAATTTATAGAGGACTACCTATATAAGACTTAATTTGTTTATTACCAAAACTGTTATTATATATAACTACAGCATCTGACCTACTGCCGTAGAAAACTCATCGAGCATCTCGATGGGAATAAATGATTATTTGACTTTGACAATGTCAAGTATGGAGCTTCACTCGCATAATGCATGTTTTAAGTTGGTCGAGTATTACTGATTTGACAGTAACTGTTTCGAACAAATGTCGGACGGAGAAGGATAATAGGTAATAGATAAGGGGCAGTTTAGAAATCGAACATTTTTGATTTCGATTTTCTGTATTTTATGCCTAGAATAAAAATTATATAATACGTAATGACACAAGATATCCGAGAGTGACTCCTTCACGCGTAAGTCGTGTATTGGATTTTCAGTTGAACCAGCTTACGTATTAAAGTCCGCGGACCTTTCTTAGTTGAATTTTCTGAGTACTATCTAGCGCTGAGATTTATAAAACGAACTGATTGATTGATTTGGACTAAGCAAGCATGGTGAGCTAAGTAAGTTTTTCGTATTTACAAAACAAACTTTGTCTAATTAAATTTTTATTGAATGTCAGAATGATTCACCATGATATTCAATTATTTTTTGTGCAATTACCCCACTAGTTTGTTTTTTTTTTTAATAGTTAATTATTAATACAAAGATCCAACACTTAGAAAATATTCCTTCGATCCGGCCGGATTCGAACAGGCGCTTCGGCTAAAAAGTCGTTGAAAACCAAAATACAAAAGATCCGACAACAATCACATAGAAAAGTTTGTGAGATGCGCTGTTTCATTCCGTGGCTTAGTTGGCTAAGCGTCTGGCATGGTTCGCTAGGAGACGTCGGTAGTGGTACGACTGATATCATCTTTGTTATAATAATAAATAATTTTCCCAAGTTCAAGCAAGAAAGTATGAAGTAAAAAACTTTAATTTTATTTAATTTCTTGCTCAAAACTTGGGCAATGTTCGTTTTGTGAATAAGAAAAATTTGCTTAGCCCTCCATTTTTACGTAATCGAAGTCCATGTTTGTTTTATAAATCTTAACCTAAGATTATGTCTCAGACCAGAATCATTTGAACAATGTAGACAACCCCTGATAGTACTAAATTAATAGTAACGAATAAATGTAAAATAGTGACTCTACTTTCAAGGTAATAGTCTAGTCGAGTAGCCTTATTTTTTTATTAAGATTTTCGCTTGAATACAAGTCCTTTGAGCCATGTCTTCGTTTCATTATCGGGATCGTCCGTAATATTTTCCATTGTGGTTCTAATACATTATGTTTTCACTTTCTCTTAAATAACTTAGTTCACTTATTTGGGTGGTTTAAATAGTCTCAAGCGGCGGGAGCCAATATTTATGTTTTCACTTGCACTTAAATCACATTATCTTCTATTACTTTGAACAAAAGCTTTGAATTCGCAATTATTGGAATTTTTAGGATAAAGTGTTCTGTAATTTGGTTTAAAAGTTTGGTGTAAGGAATGTAGTTCTAACTTTCTTTATCACTATTTCTTTCTTCGTTTTTTCTTCATTATATACTTAAAATAAAAATAATCTTTGTAATAGCTGTACTTGTAACTTCAAAAGTCCGCCATTTTTTTCAGCAAGTAGCGTTGTATTTTTGCGAATATTTTTACTCTAGCACTTATAGCACAGGGGATCTTGCTATATCTCTCCGTAAAGATTTTTTTTATAATATTAAGTGACGGGACAAACAAGTCGTGCGTCTGATGGTAAGCTACACGGCTGTCCATAACAGTTGCAGTGCCACTCAAAACTTTAAACCGCAAAGATCTGAGAGGCACTGCCACTGCGCCCGTCACCCTGAGATATAAGTTGACAAGTCCCATGTGCTTGTAATTTCACCAGCACCCTTACCCTTCAAAACCGGAACACTGTACTGTAATGATGACATTACTGCTTGGCGGCAGAAATAGTTAAGGTGGCAGTACTTCCCTGGACGAACTCTTTCACAAGGAGCTCTACTGCTACTAAATAACTCACGTAATTAAGTCGAATTTTTGTTCGATAATGTTTCGAGCCTGTCTTTGGCTCTTTTTTGGTCCTTAATCACGAGCTTCTGTGGCGATGAAAATTAAATTTAGTGTATTAAGACCACATAAGCAAAAATACAACTTTTCAGGAAAGAGGTTTAAATATTCTACGAATTAAATTAGTATGTGATTTTTTTTATACTTAAGTAGGAGAGTTATAAAATTTCACAAATACCTACATATTATATTATTTCTACACAGAACTATTTTTATGACTTTTACACGATAAAAGCAGTTTAGACATATGATCAAATGTTGTAAACTAAATATTGTATATTTAGTTTATCAAATATTAACGTGTCAGGCGAAAACACTTAAACTTAGGGATTTCCTAAATTATTTTTAACCGAATTTAGAAAGAAAGAAAGAAGAAGAAAGGAAACTGCTTATTACACAAGCACAGACGCGCGTATAGACAAAACAACAAAGGAACAATAATAATATATATTTAATACTAATAATAAATTGATACTGTTTACTGAATTAAAATAATTGATAATGCAGTACCTAATTCACCGTCATGCGTGTCGCGGCTGGTGCAATCGGGACTTGCTCAGCTTTAGCCACAAAAAGGCTTTTTTTAAACCGTTTTGTAGCGCTGATTTTCAGCAACTTTAAACAAAGAGAAGGTTCTCAATTCGGCGACTGTATTTTTAGTGGGTATGTTACGGGATTTTTGCGGCATTTGTGGACCGATTTTAATGATTCTTTTTTTTATAGAAAAGAGAATACCTCAGTATTGATCCCATTTAAATTTGAAGAAAATATTCCACCTATAAAGGTGGAAAACTAGGGGACGAATCCGGTTTCACGCACTTTCCGTTAACCGATTTCAATAAAACTTGGCAAATAGATATAACTCCACGAACTTTTGAGGTCGGTTTTTGTTATAAAAAAAATATAGTTATTATGCGATTAAATGAGTGTCTCTTTTCAGAACTTCTTATGTATGAGAAAGTTTAACTTTGCCTCGAGTCATTAATTGCGTAACATATTTTATATAACCAGCTAGTAGATTCCATAAAATAACCGGCAAAACCGACAGTATTTTTCATATCTACATTTTTAACCGACTTCAAGAAAAAGGAGGATGTTCTTAATTCGACGAATTTTTGACGCAGTTTCTTTTTATCACGTCCGAAACAAGTTTTCGCAATAAACGCATAAATTCCGTAACAGTGATGCCTGACCACATCTAATAACATTATCAGGGCAAAAAATTCATGCAGACATTAAATATAAATTACCTAAACTGTTTTTAGACAGATAAGTAATTATTTCGATTTAGTCTTTTTAATGTTGTACATCGTCAACCGCGTGTCATACCGCATTCGTACATCACATCACAAGACTCAGCCCATGGCTTAAAAAGAAGCATTAATTCTAGTATCGTATTTAAACAATGTTTAGTAATAGACAAATCAAGTTTTAATTGTCTATAAAATAAATGAACAATTTCTCATAACAAACATGTAAGTATTTAGTAGCAGTAGAGCTCCTTGAGAAAGAGTTCGTCCAGGGTAGTACTGCCTGGGGTCGGGGGACCCCTTCCACCAAGATTAAGGGTGCCCGAGACACCCTCCAAAGGACTGGGCCCGCACTATGCGGGCCATCCTCTCGATGCTCCCCCGAGCCGAGCGGTATGCGTAACACATTTCCCAACAACAAAAAAAAGGTAGTACTGTCACCGTACTTATTTCGCCGCCAAGCAGTAATGTCAGCATTACCGTGTTCCGGTTTTGAAGGGATATAATATTAAGTGACGGGACGAACAAGTTGTGCGCCTGGTAGTAAGCGACACGCCTATCCATAATAGTTACAGTGCCACTCAGAGCTTTAAATCGCAAATTTCTGAACGGCACTGCCACTGCGCGCGTCACCCTGGGACATAAGTTGATAAGTCTCATGTGCTTATAATTTCACCAGCACCCTTAACCTTCAAAACCGAACACAGTAATGGTGACATTACTGCTTGGCGGCAGAAATAGGTAAGGTGGCAGTACTTTCTTGGACGAACTCTTTCACAAGAAGCTCTACTGCTACTAAATAATAACTATAATAAGCAAGCTAAAATGGCAGCGGATTGGTCATATTTGTCGAAGAACCGATAACCGATGGGGGCAACAGGTTCTCGAGTATAGACCACGGTTCGACAAACTTAGTGTAGCTATGACCAGATGGACAATTTGCGAAAGTCTGCTGGCTACACAATATAAGAAATAGCACACATTGGGAAAGGCATATGTCCAGCATGCAATAGTATCCCAGTGTTTGGTAAAGGCCTCTCCTCTTCGGCCTGCCGTGCCATCTTGTGGTACCAAACATGTCCACCTCTCTCAGCCTTATGGGTTTTTGCCTACGACAGCTATACAAGCTTTGGAATGCAGCGTGGTGTTTTGGATCATTTCCGTTTTTTTATAGATCGAGGACATTACAATAAAATTCTCAAAAAGTTCTGTCTTGGACTAATGACCTTACGCAAAAGAACAAGGTCTTTTTTTCTTTCAAATTAGGCAATTTTTTGTACCCGTGTTCCAGAATAACTACTCAAATCGTACAGAATCAAATTAGAAAAATTTATCTTACCGCGAATCGAACAAAAGCAAAGATACACGGCATGTATATTAACGTGTTTCTCCTCGACAACATTTTGAAAAGCTATTTCCGGGCCATTTTCATTCAGTGTTTTCTACCTAATTTCAGTGGCAATGTTTGTTACTTAAGTATTCTTGAATATCAACATTAAGTATTATTTAATATTTCACAATAATAATACTCTAATACTTAAACAATCAACATCGCCAAATTAGGTAGAAAACACTAACCACAAAATTACCATTTTGATGGTTTTACCGATTTTAATAATATTTCTAAACAATATACTATATAGTGATGGAATGAAATTGAATAAGCCGTTACGACTCTTTCCAATCAACTATTTCCTAATTAAATTATCCATCAAACACTACGTAAAGCATTTAAACACTACATTACGTCACTTAACATTGCCATCATTGGTACAAAAACAATGGTCGGATTTACGCGTCGACGCGACACGGATGGACAGGCACCGTGAATGGGAGGCCGACAGATGTCCAAGCCTTGGAGCATCTTTGATCGGAGTAAACGCAAGATTCCCTTTAGTAGATCATCTAGTGTTACCGTACGCTACAGAGAGAGAGATCTGCCCGATCATGTCCACCTTTGCTCTCCTTTTCAATAATTTATATTCCTTCTGTAATCTTTTTGTTGCAATTATAAATATAAGTAAAATAATTGTACTAGAGCGACAGTTTGTCGGTAGATATAAAATCGGTAAATAACTTTTTATTTTTATCTCTTATACTCAATTTATAATACCGCGGAAAGGAATCAAATTATAAGGGTTCTATTATAAGCAAACAGGTACACTCAAATACAATATCGAGTTGTGTCACTATAGTCTCACATAAATAAATTTAGTAGCAGTCCTTGTGAAAGAGTTCGTCCAGAGAAGTACTGCCACCTTACCTATTTCTGCCGCCATGCAGTAATGTCACCATTACTGTGTTCCGGTTTTGAAGGGTAAGGTTGCTGGTGAAATTACAGGCTCGTGGGACTTGTCTACTTATGTCTCAGGGTGACGAGCGCAGTGGTAGCGCCCCTCAGATTTTTGCAATTTAAAGCTGTGAATGACACCGTAAGTGTTATGGACAGGCGTATAGCTTACCATCAGGCGCACGACTTGTTCGTCCCGTCACTTGATGTTATTAAAAAAAAAAAGTTAGATAAAACTGGCTTACCTTTGCCAATACACAGATAAAACACTCATTCATGTCGTTTCCGTGCACAGAGTATGCCTAAAGAAAGGAGTCGGTTCCAATGGATTTGCTAGAGACGGGGGCGTTATCGACTTTCAGTGTCGATGTAGTCATCGAAAATATAATACATAAAATAATAATATAAAAAATTTGCTTCTTTAAATATAAATCGAGACTATTTTTTTACGACAATAACCATTGACTTACAAATAAATGGACGACGGGTCTAATACAAAAACCACGAAAAAAATGTCCCAAGTCAACCTATTCGAAATTTAAATTGTAATGTCATCGCAGTATCGCGCTGTCAGTCGAACAAATGAAGACTAAAGCGGAGTTTGGCGCTCTGTATACGATTTTAGCGCCTTACAAGTGCGGACACTTTTTAGCGCGGACCCGACGTCCATATAATTGTAAGTCAATGACAATAACGGATAAAAGAGTACACATTACCTTCCACTGAGGATTAGCTGACAATCGTCCAGCAACAACCGCGCCTGCCGTACCTCCACCAATGACGATAAAGTCGTAATTGTCATCAGCATCTTCCCGATTCGGCAACCGCCTACACGGGTCAGCCAAATCGCATCGTCCATTGATGAACTGTTCCAGGATTGTCATGAAGAGCATCAAAGTCGATCCGCCGTTGCAGAAAACGTGCGGGAACATTGATGTCTCGATCGGTGTTATGGGACATGGACATGCCTGAAAAAAAAACGGTTTGATTTAAACATGTCTTCAGATTGTATTGTTGATTTTTTTTTGTGCGCTCACTGTACCAAGCCTATTGCATCAGCCTTATAACATCATGATATTGCCGAGGATTTTTAAAGCGGAGAAGAAATATTAAGACAAATGAAGAACAAATTCAGAGCTATGTCACTAGGACAAAGCATTTAAAAAATGTATTGAGCATAAATTAAATATTGTTGATTGTGACGCACTGTCCTCCAATATCAGTACGTGAACTTATTTCATAAATTATCTGTAGAATTTAAGATTATTCCTAACATAAAACTGTTTAAAAATAGACAGAGATTTACTATTACAAAAATGATGTTATTCGGTAGAATTTTAAATTTGTTGTACATTTTATAAATTATTGTTTTTAATTTGACGAGTTGTATTGTGCAACACGTTCTAATACTTTTAGTATCTGTAATAAGAAATAATATAACAAAAATGTATCATGAATATCGTTTTTTTACAAAATAAAAATATCCACTTAGATGCATTAGTCAAACGGTTTGTTGGGGAAATAAAAAACGGGAAAAGAATAACTTGTCAATATGTCAAAATAGTAAAACATTAAATTGTGTAATGAAAAAAACCGTAACGTATTTTCAGACAAATGAAACAAAATCTATTCAATAAAGGTTATTGGAGAAACAAAATTCTGTAAATCATGTTTCTAACTTGTGATAGGTAACCATTTGTATGGCCTACATTTATTTCTCTCGTGAGTTTGGGTGTAATTTGTGGTTGTCTATGCGTCTGTCCATGGCGCCCGCGACACAGGGTTTCCCTAGTGCGGGGCAATGTTGAGTATGTGCGTTATTTATTATTTTTATTGAGTTTTTTGGCTTTCGACGCCATAAGCAACATCTATGAGAGATTTTATAAACTTTCTCATTCAGCCGGTAAGTTTCCAGTTATATTAAAAGTCTCATGTAACTGTACTTTACCAGCACTCTTACCCTTCAAAGCCGGAACGCAGTAATGCTCACATTACTACCTGGCGTCAGAAATTAGTAAGGCGGTAGTACTTCCCTAGAAGAACTCTTTTACAAGGAGCTCTACCGCTACTACAAAATTTGTAGTAACATTTAATGTATCAAATTACTTCATGGCTTAAAAAGGTTCAGTTCAGCCAAAAGGATTCCCAATAATTTATTTATATTCAATTCTAAATAAAAAACTTTGTATATAAAATACTTTCATAGATTTCTCATAGATGGCGCTACGGCTAAAAAGTCGTTTAAAACCATATACAAAGATTCGACAACAGGCACATAGGGAAATTCGTGAGGTCCGCTGGTTCGTCCCGTGCCTTAGTCTAGCACGGTTTGCTAGAAGACGTTGGTTCGAATCCGGCTGGATCGAAGGAATTTTTGTTCTGAGTGTTCGAACTTTGTATTAATAATTATAACAAACTTTATATACCTATACAAACTTCCAAAATTGTTATCCAAAGTTTTCCTCATGACTTGTTCTATTTTCCTACTATAGTGATCAGCATATCATCGAATTGTAATGCGAAGTCAACAGTTTTTTTCCGTCTGAGAGCAAAGTAAAAAAGGCTCTCATTAAGCCCATTAGTCGTTTTAAGAAACCCTGTATTACGTAATGTAATTAAAAATATTAAAATATTTTTTACAAGTACTCTACCTCTACGTAGAAGTTGTGGTAGCCCAATAGACGTACCGCCTCTCAAAAAGAGGCCGTGGGTTCGCATCTGGACACGCACCTCTGTGTTTCTCGGAATTGACGTGCGAAATTTAATTTGAAATTTACTATAAACTTTTCGGTGAAGGAAAACATTGCGATAAAACCAGCGAAAAAGGTTCACAATCCTCGGAAAACGTGTGGAGTACCCAACCCCCATTGGGCCAACGTGGCGGACTATGACCCAAACCTTGGTATGAGAAAAGACCCGTGCCCAGTAATGGGGCGTGAAAATGGGAAGATGATGTGGAGAAATATAGACTCTAAAAATAATACCCCAAGACTAAATTTTAATAACGGGGAATTTGGAAATATAGAAAGAATTGTTCTAAGTATTCGACTTTATATAAATAATTACAACAAAGTTATTATTATTATTTTTATGTATTTCATATTATTATTTTTTATGTAGAGTAATTTCACATAAAAAATAATTGAATATCAATTCAATAAAAAGTTTAAATACAGTGAATAGCGACATCTCTAGCTGGGGCTGGCATCTGTAAAGGTATATAACTGGGTGACGAAATACTATCATAGATTTCTCATAGATGACGTTACGGCTAAAAAGTCGTTGAAAACCAAATACAAAGATACGACAACAAGTACATAGATAGCAGTGGGTCCTATGAAAAACTGGGTTGATGATGACCTCTACGTACACAAATTACACCAGGAAAACAACTTTAATAGCATTTGCTTGATACCTTTTTTCATTAACAAACGATCGCATTCTATTGTTACTATACCGCAACAAAGAATCAAATGCGTAATTGGTATTAATGACATTAAATCATTTGCAATCGACATTCCATTGACAATCGTGATATAATTGACGAAAAAACTTACGTATATGTACTCGTATTGTTATTATTTATTGCATTTGTCTAAGTGGAATCTGTCTGTTGCAATATAAATAGATCTCTATTCAGGTAAACAATGCCTATTATGTGTCTTTCAAGTTCATGATCAAATGTGAACACTGTTTGCGATAGACGAATGCCCCTTAAGCTAAAGAGGAAAATATACAACCGTGATTAGACCTGTCGTACTCTATGGATCAGGATGTTGGGCGACGAAAAGCGAGGATCAACGAACTAACTTGAGATGAATGTGTGGAGTGGATATGTCGAGTGGATAGATTTGGGAAGGCCTTTAATAACGAAGATGTCCTACAATTTGAATGGGGTTTGACTATAAATAGGAAACAAAATGATCATCGCTAGTTTGTAGGTTTTACCACAAGATAAGACGCAGTACTAACGTGATAAGAAACTTGTAACAAGTGGCAGTCATTTGGGGAATGAAAATTAGGTAATTAACTTCTTTACAGGCCTATGTAATTCTTTATAGATGCTATAAATTCCATTTATCGCAAAAGATACATTTAAGCAAACTGCAAAATTACCTATACAACACCAGTAAGTAATTTGCTAACCGCTGGGCCTGACATGGATGCCATTGTGCGATACTTTGCAAAACCGATACGGCTGTAAATGCTCTGTTTTTATGTTTTTCTTTTTTATTTTAAAATTTCATTAACACTTACTTCTCCAAGATTTTATTGTTTTATTTTTTTTTACTAATACTTTTCTATGGATCTAAGTTGAAAATAAAGATAGATAGGTAGATAAATGTACAAATTTATTTTTTACGTCCACTGTGTCGCCACCTCTGAAGTCCTGGGTTCGATCCCCGGCCGAGTCAATGTAGAATAACTAACTTTTCTATATTGTCTGGGGTCTAAGTGTTTGTGGTGCCATCGTTGTTTTTAATTTCCGTAACACAAGTGCTTCAGTTACTTACTTTCGAATCGGAGCAACGTATGTTGTCCAATTTTTATTGTTTACACACAAAAACCAAACAGCGTGTAAGACGCATTGTGCATTGTAAACTTATTTTATTTATTTTCTTTTTTAATTAATCAAGTCAGCCATAAATTTACCTTACGTTACCTGAATAAATTATTTTTCTATAGCTAGAGATGATAAATTAGTACATAATAAAAACATAATGACGGGAAAAACAACTTCGTGCTCTATAATAATAATTATAGTGAGTCCCGATTAACCGCGAATGTGTAATTTAGTCACGAGTTATACGTTAGTTGAATTATTTATAAGCATTATAACTCCATCACACTGGAATAGGCTGAACTTACGATTATTCACACATGTTTATCTATTCCGGTTACTTTTGACTTGGCCTTTTTTAAGGAAATAACTAGTGATCGTGGTAGTCTCCTTACAAGCTGTGTGGGGTGGCGCTCCTTTTCTGGTAATCACACAACAGGACTGTGTTGGGATAAGGGGGAACCAGCTAAACCAGGGGAGTAGACGCGAAAAAACTGTTGCACTATATTTAAACATTTGCCGTTTGAAAATAAAATATATATTTACTCTTACTGTAAAATAAGCTCTACGTAAATAAGCCCTGACTGGGAGAGAAAATTTCATTAAATTATACTAATAACTTAGTAAAAATGAAAATTTTTCCAAAGTTTGTGATTTTTTAAATCGAGGTAATTAAAGTCAATCGTATTTTGAGGTTTGAAGTCTATCTTTTGTTTTCGTTATCAATTAAGATAAAAAAGTACGCCGAAGCTCACGAACATAGACTACATCAACACGTGAACATAGAGGCTATACAGCTGTTAGATAATACAAATATAGTGCGTAGACTACATAGAACCAAACCTTTTGAATTAGTGTACTTAATTATAGTGAATAAAGATAATATTAGTGCCAGTGTTAACTAGACTATGAACACTTAAACAAAATGTCTTCCCTTTACTTAATTAATGTAAAAGACATTTTGTCAGTAATAATAATAACGCACACACTCAACATAGCCCCGCACTAGGGAAACCCTGTGTCGCGGATGCCATGGACACACATATAGACAACCACAAATTACACCCAAACTCACGAGAGAAATAAATGTAGGCCCATACAAATATTTCACCCGGCCCGGGAATCGAGCCTGGGACCTCTGCGTACCATGGTAATGGTTTGGCCACTTGAACGAAAAACGAACTATGTGAAAACACGTATGCGGGGTTTTCATTCTAAGGCGACGATTTGCAAACCGATTTCGAATTCTCATTCCCATTCAAATTTGAAAAAAATATTCCACCTGTATGGGTTGCAAATTAGGGGTGAATCCCGTTTATTGGATTTCACCCACTTTCAGTTAGCTTTTAAGGCCGTTTTTTTATGAAAAAGTTCAAATTAAATCACACGTAGGCAGTTTTGGACAATTTCTTTATATAAGTTACTTTTATTTTAGGAAATTATGTTAAATTAAAATTGCTTATGAGTCTTGTAAAATGGCTAGATTGCAATTAGTTATAATGTTTTGTTTTGCTTTATAAGACTTTAAAAAATAATTGAATTGATTTTATTTCAATTTGTATTTTTTAATGTCGAAAAACCGTTTACGTGTGGTCGAAATACGACATCTATTTTGGGTCTCACTTCATCTTAAGATCATTTATTCCACGGCTGATAACGCAGTTACAATATTAAGAATTCTTGCTAAGTTTCTTCCGGTTGTTACGATTTTCCATCAAAAGAACCTTATGAAAGTTTGCGGAATCGAATACCGTATTAAATGATTTTCATGTCGAAGCTATGATTTGGAAATATAAAATTTGTAGCGACGGCTGCATATTGAAATGAAACTATTTTTTCCGAATGTATTCCAAAAAATACTTGGAGTTTGTTAGGAATTTTAATTCTTTCATCTTACTTTTGTTTCTTCACATATAAAGTACTTATGCCCTTCAGTCGCGCATTATTACACAACGTGAGCATCCATTTAAGTATTTTCTTCTTCACGAAGTAGTTATATTACGTACTTCTATGCTTCTTGTTATAACTGCCTCCGTTATATGCTCATGATCTGTTTTGTAGAAAAATTATTACATTCGTCATAATTATCTTCGCCCTAACGAGTGCGTAAATCAATAGTCACTGGAAAATTATCTTATTGTCCCTGATCTCCGGGAAACTTTATTACAGGTCAACATGATTTCGTACATGATACAAAAAAATTTTTTTTTTTTCACCTCACTAACTCAGAAAGGCTTTCTTTCTCTTTAGAAATTTGCGCGCAAAAGCGTTTTTTGGGCGCTAGCGTGGAAAAGGTTTTCGAAATTCGAACTTGACGATGTACTGTGGTGCACCTAACTTTTTCTTTCGATGAAAAAAATAAGATGATGACCCGTTCAATTACGCGATTAGTCGTACATTACTTAGTTAGATAATATAAATCCGTTGGTATATTTTATTCCTATTATTGTTGACATTAAATTGACAAAGATAAATAATTGTGTTTATGAAATTATTTTAATTCGTCGAGGAACTAAAATAATTTCAATAATCACTTAAATACACAAAATAAAAGTACAAGCAAGAATAAAAATTGATGAAATGTAAATTCAGAACGCATCCAAAGATAAAGTTTATCTTTTAATTGAAAAAACTGATGCTGTATTGTTCAACTGTTTTTCTTTCATTTATCTTTTTCCTCGCTATAGTGAGGTGAAAAGTTGTGTGTTTCGCTCGGCAGCAAAGTTGTTTTGCGTCTTGTGGCTTGTAAACCTCGCTACGCTCGGGAATCCTAACTTCCTTTGCTTGTTCAGGCTGCAATACAAGCACTCGCGTCAAACAACAACTTTGCAGCCTTGCATAACAAATAACTATTACGTAGTTGATAATACTTTTCAGTTTTCACCGACTTCAAAAAAGGGGAAGATTCTACTGTTATGTTTTTGATTCATCGCTTTGTAAATTAAAACAAAATCAGTAATCATATTTTCCAGCTATCTGCGCAGCTCTACCGCTCTGATACAAACATTTCACCATTCTTGACAGACTTAAAAAATTAGGAGGTTTTCAATTCGGTTATATATATTTTTTTGTGTGTATGTTACGGGATCACTCCGAAATTTTTGAACCGATTTCGATGGTTCTCTTTTTCTTGGTAACGGGGTGGTACCTAAGTTGTGGTCCCATTCAAATCCGGTTTATTGGACTTCACCCACTTTCCGTTAGCCGATTTAAATTAAACTTGTCAAATAGATTAGATGTCAAATAGATTCCACAAACTTTTGAATTTGGCTTACCCAGTTGTTATTTTCTAGAAACAGGTACCGGTAGTGCATACCTAACATGACCATACGTCCCACTTTGAGCGGGACTGTTCCGCTTTTAAGTTCCGTGTCCCGCTCTCTCTAAAATACTATAAATGCCCCGCTTTGACAACAGCACACGTGACAATAATTTTTTTTTTCTTTAAATGGCGCGAAAGCGAAAAATATCTAAAGCCAGCACATTGGACGACACAAAATTAGTTCGTTCTTAAAATTTTTATGATCATTAAACGTTCTTAATCTTCCTCGTTTTCAATTATTTTAATCGTTACGCATTTCGTAACTATCACAAACATGTGTTTAATTTATTTTATTGTATTTAACTGCCTCAGTGGCCGAACGGTTATAATACTGGACTGCCACGCAGAGGTCCCGGCTCCCGGGTCGGGAGAAATATTACAAATTCATCCAAACGTGAGTTTGTTTATGTCCATGGCACCCGCGACACATGGTTACTCTACTGTGGGGCTATGAGTGTTACATATTTGTTACTTTAAAACAATAATAAATTTACAGACGTCCCGCTCTGAGGGAAAAAAAAATTTGGTCACGTTAAGCATACCACGAATATTCGTAACCGTTAGGAAGGAGGAAGCTAAGCGCTTCGTGCGTATTGAACTTCAATGACACAGGATGGGGTGTTCCGGTCTCTCTAGTCGACTGAAGGAGGAACGATGAGGTGAGAACTAACTCGTAAAATTTTTATAAGAGAGAAAATCGACAAGCAGGCCTCTTTCCTGCTCTGGTCGAAATTCCACAAGAGAGACGTTGCAAATAAATACGCACTCGCAATGCAATTTACGTGCAATCATGCCGACTACTTTCTGACTACATCCTAAGAGCTATTCCGTTACGATTAAATCTACGCACTTAGTATGTTAAGTTACTTAAGTGCCAGTAAACAGTAAAAAAATGTTATAAGAAAATCGGACCAACGTTAGGGTCAAAGTAGAGTTCAGACATTTGCTATTATTTACAGTAGCAAATCTTTTAATGCGTAATTTTCAAGGCGGTTAGTATCCATTTTCAAAGAATGTTATTGTTTATTAGAAGTGCAGTAACATTTTATATTGCCTACAGATACCAACACGTCTATAATAATGATGATATAGATGACAACAATTCTTACCCTTGGTATAATAAAGACACATGTGATCATAAGTAAAAAAGTGCTTATAATATTCATAGTATAAATATTTCGGATCTGTCAAACGCATGCTTTTATCACACGGAAAGTCATAAAAATAATATGAACTAAAAGAAACATTTCTTTTTATAATTCAAGTGACGGGACGAACGAAGTCGTGCGCGTGATGGTAAGCTACAAAAGCCTGTCCATAACAGTTGCAGTGCCACTCAGACGTTTAAATCACAGAGATCTAGAAGGCACCGCACCTGTCACTCTGAGACATAAGTTCTCCCACCCTTCAAAACCTTTGGCGACATGAATTGGTAAGGTGGCAGTACTTTCCTGGACGAATTCTTTCACAAGGAGTTCTACTGCTACTACAAATAACGCATAAGTGAGCTTTTAAGTCTCCTATTTAATAAGCATGAAAGTTAGTGACTAATTTTGTTTCTACAAATCTTTACACATCTCTCCTGGAATGTTGTCATTTTACAGATGTGGCCTTATTACACCAAGGGTGCGAAATGGAATGAAAATGCTTGCATATTTTTCGTTTTAATTATTTTTTAGTTACGTAATAATTATTTTACTTACCTCTGGTGATCTGATGAGAGGTATCGACATCCTTACTAATTCATATGATTATCTGAAAAGGAAATCGATATTAATAACAAGAAAAACCAATCATTTATAAATCTTTTGGTTTATATATGTACATTACAGGCGGTAAGCAACGCGCCTTTTCATAGCACTTCCATTGCCACTCAGAGCTTTAAATTGCAAAGAGAACAATGCCACGCCCGTCAGCATGAGACTTAAGTTCTTAAGTCCCATGTGTCTGTAATTTCACCAACACCGCATGCTCCCAATCACTTCGCTTGGCGGCAGAAATAGGTAAGGTGGTAGAATTTCCCTGGAGGTACTCTTTCACAAGGAACTTTACTGCTACTAAGTACATCAATAACTCGTTCTTGATAAAATTTTTCGCCTTTTCTTTCCCGAACTATCGATAATTTTTCTTCTAATTCTTTGTAAGAATGGAAATGATTCAGAAAAGATCTAGTTACCTAATATTTAGTAGCAGTAGAGCTCCTTGTGAAAGAGTTCGTCCAAGATAGTATTGCCACCTTACCTATATCTGCCACCAAGCAGTAATGTCAGCATTACTGTGTTCCTGTTTTGAAGGGTAAGGGTGCTGGTGAAATTACTGGCACATTGGACTTGTCAACTTATGTCTCAATGAGGGTGTAGTGGCAGTGCCCCACTTTGCGATTCAAAGCCCTGAATGGCACTGCAACTGTTACGGACAGCTTGTTCGTCCCGTCATTAATATTATTTAAAAAAATTGCTATTATAACAAACGATTCTGTAAATGACGTAGACTCTTCCTTGTAACTATGTAAGAAAATCGTATAAGACTGGTTAAAAGCAAAATACTACTGTGAAATTGAAGATTTTATATCTGTTGTTACATAATACGTAATATTAATAATAGCTAAGATGCTAGCTAATATAATTAAGTATTCATGTTTTATTATAATTTATTAATAATGAACAAAACACGTTGACTAATCATCAAGCTATAATCACCGATTTGGATACCTGAGATACCTACAAGTAAACAATTTTTCTTAGTTTAGATATCACCTAGATTACCTTACACTACTAACCTTAATTGAAGTTATATACAAACATACAACCAAAAACTGTTTGTAATAGTCTGCGCATATATGTACATAAAAGGTTATTGTTCTTGTATTTAGGCTAAGTTTTTATGCAGAATAAATTTATCTTATCATAGATAACCAGACGCATGAGCTGTTCGTCCCATCATTAAAAAAAACATTAATAGTCTCAAATAGGTAATTTTATATGACACCAGGCGCACACCTACTTACAGGTATTATTATATATATAGGTATTATGCCCTAGGTTTGTATACTTAAAGTAGGTATTATACGATTTCGTGTTTCACAACAATATGTATGTACAGTTCTTGGAATACATTATCTGTTTAGTATTCTCGTGTTTTACTAAGCACTCCCAACCAATACAAAAAGTACCGTTACGATGTTTTCTTCTAACTACTATTGTATACTTTACAACTTTCGAACTTGTTTTTCTATATTTTAACATTTTGATAGCTTTGTAGCGGTGCTAGAGCATTAAAAAGATGAGGTGTATCTAGCGCTCAAAGTCGGCGAATCGCTCAACAGCCCAATGTTATCACATGAATGGGTACACAAGTGAAAGCTCGGTGTCTTAATCACAACAATATAAAGCACATTATAAGTACAGTTCATTTAGTAGAGTATCTGAGTATGAATTTCTTTATGGTGCGACTATACATACATACAAAATAAACAACTAAATATAAACGGAACTCGTCTCATCGTAGACGCTACCTTTGCTCCAAAATTATACAACAACGTAAAATATAAAAATAATCTTAAATAATCAAATTACTTAACATAATTGATTCTCATTTAGAATTCAATCACCCATTTTTATAGAAGTACAAATGTTTCCAAAATTGTCGGAGAGTCATTATTATGAAAAAAAGGAAGAAAAAGTCATACAACTATGCGAAATTCTATTTTAAAAAACAGTCCACCAAACCAAACACCAAAGTCTCATTAAAGCGGTTTTTATTTGGGATAATAAGTTGTAATTGGCGTACCTAAAAAAACGTATAAAAACTCCATAAAACGATATTTATATTATTTTATTACTATTTTAAAATTTAAATTTACATATACAGTTTTTACATTAATTAATTTTTAGTTGAAGTATATTACGTTTTGAGCTTCTTAATTCTTTGTGATCTGATCAATAAATAAATAATTGTTCTATTAAAGAACGATTCAAAAAGCCTTTGGTGGAAAATGCAATTTCTAGTTGCTTACTAATTGTTTTACTTAGACTTTACTATAATTTATAGAAGACTATATAACACTCAATTTGTTTATTACCAAAACTGTTATTATATATAATTACAGCATTTGATCTTTCTACCGTAGAAAACTCATCGAGTATATCCAGAAATAGAGACGAAATGTCATTTAATTTGTTTGAAAACTATTATGTCATATCATTACGGTGACAACTGCGCTTCCATTGGCCAGCACGAACTCAAAACAATTGACAGGTGTCGTCAATAATTTCACTTCAAATCGGCCAGTTTAACTTGAGCTTTTTTTTTTTTGCTACAACGGACAAAAATTGCAAAATTACATATTTAATATTTAATTACCGATGAAATGTGATTCCGTTTGTTTTGTAATTAGATGTTTTGCTGTATTGTTGCTAGCAACCTCGTAAATTACTTCACAATTTTGTATGGCAAATTATACAGCGCCCCTAGCGGTCACAAGAAGAAACAACTTATACAAACTTTTTACGCGGTCGCTAGCGATTACTGTGACTGTAATCTCATGTTAGAGGCAGATGTGTAGAAAACATGTAGGGATCAATTCACGTGTGAGGAAAATAATGTCTCAGCAGAGTAATTCCGAAAACGACGATTGGGGATAGTAGAGAACGGGATATATAACAGGCATGGTCCTATGAAAACAAGGCAGAGTGGTCACATCCTCTGTCGACATGGGAAAAATTTACATTAATTTGATCGATTAAGCTTCGAATGCAATCGATAAAAATACGGAGAGATTTCAATAATGTATGATTGAAACCGCATTTTCTTATATATTCATCATCAAACTTAGAGTTATACTCTTGTCGGTGCTAGAAAAAGTGTTTAATATACCTTTGACTTTGATAGTACACTAAGGACGTTTGTGAACTACGTCCGATTCGTATCAGGGGGTCTACTCTCGAGCTCCATCTGACATCCGTCCGAAACAATTACTGTCAAATAAGCAATACTCGACCAAATGAAAAAACGCGTGATGCGAATGAAGCTTAATACTTGATACCTGTACCTTGAAGCAGAGGCCGTAGATTTGAATCCGGACTCTGAGTTTCTCAGAACTTAAGTGCGAAATTTCATTTGAAATTTACCATGAGCTTTTTCGGTCGGAGAAAATTCACAACCTTCGGAAAACGTGTCTCAAAAAGTCCCCAGACCGCAATGGGTCAGCGTGGAGGACTATGACCTTAAACCCTCGCCTGAGAGAACCCGTACCCAGCAGTGGGGCGTGAAAATAAAATTAGTAGATGATGTGGAGAAATATAGATTTTAAAAATAATACCCCAAGACTTAACGCGACTAAACTTTAATAATAGGCAATTTGGAAATAATCGAAGGATTTTTTTCTAAGTGTTACAACAAACTAGTGGAGTAAAAATAATTGAATATCAATTTAATAACAAAAAAATAGTTTAAAGAAAAACCAAAAACTTATCTCTTTCAAATATAATATCAGCCTATATCAACAATTGTAATGATTTGTATTTGAAAGTAACACAGGGTCATCTATTATATTATTTACATTTGTTACCTAAAATAAAATGATTAGTGTGGAATATCGACAACCGCTGCGGACGAAGGTTTAGTGCCCTACAATGAATAACGAACCATAAAACTGAAGCGATAAATTTTAATTATTGTTTAGTAAAATTCTATTTATGAAGTAGGTTTGTGCGATTGTTATACATAGGGAATGAAACTACTTTTAACCGACTTCAAAATAGGAGTAGTTTCTCAATCCGACTGTATTTTTTTGTATAATAATAATAATATTTAATGACGGGACGAACAAGTCCATAACGTTGCAGTGCCACTCAGAGCTTTAAATCGCAAAGGTCTGAGGGACACTGCCACTGCGCCCGTCACCCTGAAACATAAGTTGGCAAGTCCCATGTGCCTGTAATTTCACCAGCACCCTTACCCTTCGAAACTGGAACATACTACCTGACCATACGACATTACTACCTGGCGGTAGAAATAGGTAAGGTGGCAGTATTATCTTGGATGAACTCTTTCACACGGAGCTCTTCTGCTACTATGTATGTATTTATGCGATAACTCTCTCTCTATTTGTGAACCAATTTTGATGATTTCTCTTTTGTTGGAAAGAGGGAACCTCCGTATCCATCTCATTTAAATTTGAAAAAATATTCCACCTGTAAGGGTGGCTAATTAGGAACAACGAATCCAGTTTCGCGCACTTTCTGGACACCAATTTCAATAAAACTTGGCAAATAGATGTAACTGCACGAACTTTTAAGGTCGTTTTTTTATTAAGAAATTACAACTATTTCAGATCTGAACGTATGTTTGTTGTTTTTAAACAAACCTAATTCGCGGGTTCTATGTTGGTGGATGAAAAATGACATGTAATAATTATAACTTATTTGACATTTTGTAATTAAAACTATACCGTGAAAATAATTTCATTAAGAAAATTGTATGCCATAAAATTGGCAATATGTACTGACACAACAATGTTATATAAGACCTAGACCTAGACCTACGTACACAATAAATGATTTGATTTCATTCTTTTTTTCATTCAACGATCTTAAAACTAACTGAAAGTGGATGAAATCCACTAAAACGGATTCATCCTCTAATTTGCAACCCTCAGAGGTGGAATATTTTCTTCAAATTTGAATGGGAATGAGAATCATCGAAATCGGTTTACTAATCGTCGTCTTAGAATGAAAACTTCGCATACGCGTTTTTACATAGTTCGATTTTGCTGATTTTAGTTGAAGAAAAAATTATGAACTTCTTGTTCAAATATCAACTGCCTCGGCGGCCGAACGGTTAACATAACTGCCACGCAGAGGTCCCAGGTTCGATTCCCGGGTCGGAAGAAATATTTGTATGGCCTACATTTATTTCTCTCGTGTGTCCATGGCACCCGCGACACAGGGTTACCCTAATGCGGGTGTGTTGTATGTTGAGTGTGTGCGTTATTATTATTATTTATTATATACAACGACTGTGAACTGGCAATCGGTACTATCTCAATTTTGACTACTTCACAGGACGAAGGAAAAAATTGTTAGAGTCATTTATATAACATCTGATTTATTACATAAAAATACGTACTTTTTAAATATTTTTATTACACATACACTACATATTTTTATTTAAGAAACCAGATAGATATTTCGAGATTAAGTTTTTGCGATTGTTTGACATAGGAAGTGAAAGTATTTTTTCGGACCTAAAATGCCAATATTTGGTTTTTTCAAGCTAACTACCCTTTCGGGCCACAGGACTATACAATTAATTTCAAAATTGTATTTACTCTTCTTAAGTACTTTGCAAAGTACCTAGAGACTGAATCGAAAATTAATCACTCTTACTTAACTAAGTAATTAGAATGTTCTATTACTTAAACATTAATATATTTGTTTAAGAATATTACCTATATTAAGTACGCTTAATGACAAATTGTATATGCAATTTAAACAAATAATATTCAAATAACCTACTTTGTTGTGTAGATTTTAAAATACGACATATAGATACAAAAAATATACCTTTATAACAATAAAAATCACACCACAATCACAGGCACTTAAAAAAAATATAAAATTTAACTGTGGACACGCGCGCACCGTGCGATGCGCAAGAGACGACACGGAATGTGCGATCGTCACTTGTTTATATGGAGATGACCTGATCGCTTTAGAGTAGATACTACCTAAGATCAAATTCAAAGATTTCCCGTACTAATACGGTTCGTTTTGTTTGGGTCGTGTTTCAGGAACACTGGCTTTATTTCAAATTTTTGTTTTACAAACGAAATTAAAACCATTTGAAAAATGTATATATCGTATAGTATACGTGTTCGAATTTACTTCAGTTGATATAAAAAAATCATGGTATATGTAAAGTACCTATACAGTGGTTTTCTTGTAATAATATAATAACGCACACACTCAACATAGCCCCGCACTAGGGAAACCCTGTGTCGCGGGTGCCATGGACACACACATAGACAAACACAAATTACACCCAAACTCACGAGAGAAATAAATGTAGGTCATACAAATATTTCGCCCGGCCCGGGAATCGAACCTGGGACCTCTGCGTGGCAGTCCGGCATGGTAACCGTTCGGCCACAGAGGCAGTGTAAAATTGTGTTTTTTTCTAAAGTGAAAATTTTTAGGAATCGTGTTTTCACACCATATAGTACTACTTCGTTGACATGTATCCCGCTCAAGACCGTAATAGGGATTACGGAGAGACTGAAAAACAGCGCTGCGCGGTCTTATCGCCGTGCCAGCATAAGCTGAGCCTCTGCTTTTTGTCTCAAATTTATTTATTTTGTTGTATTTGATTAATTAGTAGTAGTAGTAGTAGTTTAAGGAAGAAAATGTTACGAGACAATAAATTATGTTTTATTATTATTATTATTATTACTTACTTGGTGTAACGGGCTGGTGTCCGCAACTCGACGTCAAGGCGCCTATTTTGCGTGTGCACCATATAGTAATCAGTGCATATCCTTAATTTTACTTGACAATTTTCCAAAGTGATTTATTCACTTCTCTTTCATTGTTATGCGGAACCAACCAATGCCATTTGAGTTTTTTATAGACACTTACATCAGACAGCGTCGCTTATTTATTCAGGTGCAACTCGTTGTCAACTGTTAATACATTTCAAATTCGCAAATAACCGAAATTTTGTCAAGCGTATCTAAAATATAATCTAACTGACTCGGTGGCCGAACGGTTACCACGCCGGACTGCCACGCAGAGGTCCCAGGTTCGATTCCCGGGGCGGGAGAAATATTTGTATGGCCTACATTTATTTCTCTCGTGAGTTTGGGTGTAATTTGTGGTTGTCTACGTGTGTGTCCATGGCACCCGCGACTCAGGGTTTTCCCTAGTACCGGGCTATGTTGAGTGTGTGCGTTATTATTAGTATTATTATTATATTAATATTTTGCATTAAATACAATGTAATTCATAGCGATTATTTATTTCTATTTCTAACTTATTTCCCACGAGGATGTCGCGGTCCCTCATTAGTTTATCTCTGACAAATCGCTAAAACGTTATGCTATGCGTTTATTACATTCTTGAAAAAAAAGGTGACATCATCTTTCTTTCAAATCGTCTTTATTTCATAGGTAAGCAAATTACACTTGAAATTTTCATATGAAAGAGTTCGTTCAGTGTAGTACTGCCATCATACCTATTTCCTCCGCCAAGCAGTAATTGTGAGCATTACTGCGTTCCGATTTAGAAGGCTAAGGGTGTTAGTGAAATTACAGGCACATGGGACTTGTTAACTTATGTCTCAGGGTGTCGAGCGCAGTGGCAGTGCCCCTCAGATCTTTGCGAGTTAAAGCATTGAATGGCATTGCAACTGCTATGGACAGGCGTGTCGCTCACCACCAGGCGCACGACTTATTCGTCCCGTCACGTGGCATTATAAAAAAACTGTGGTCTATTCTTGGTAAAGAAGATAAGATTAGAGTTCTATAGTCTATTTAAAATTAATTAAATATTATTATTTATATTTGAACTCCCATCATGTTGTAAAAAACTTTTCTGAAACCACCTATTCGTCAATTTAGCCGATGAATTGTTTTTGGGGAGGATAGAGACAATAGAAAGGACAAAAACTGTCTACAGCACATTTCATCAAGGTCGGTGTTGGGTGACGACACACTTTTTATTAGTATTGTATACGTAACGGATCAATGAATTTGGATTAAATGATGGCGGTGATCGTGTGATGGTGTGGATCGTATGGTGTGGCGTGTGTGTTTGTCTCGGATTCGAATATAAAAAACTTATCTAAATATATTGCCACTTTTAAAATGTACTAAAATATATATGAAGGTATTAAACATGTGCTAGCAGCCAAGACCTTGTAGTAATAAAATCACATTATTATATAATATCAAGTGACGGGACAAACAAGTCCTGCGCCTGACGATAAGCAACACCATATCCATAACAGTTGCAGTGCCACTCAGAGCTTTAAATCGCAAATATCTTGGGGTGATAAGAGACTGACTGCATGTATGCAGTCGTTATCGAAGACCTCGACTGCATGAAGTTGATAACGACTTCACGTATTAACTGCAAGTCGATCTCAATGCAGTTAATGCGTCCAGTCGTTATCGACTTCATGCAGTCATTATCAAGTACGCATTAACTGCAAACAAACAGTCAATCTGTTTGCAGCCTTAGAGATATTGCCAGTGCGCCCATCACCCTGAAACATAAATTGGCATGACCTATGTGACTGTAATTTCATTAACACCCTTTCCAAACCGGAACGCAGTAATGCTCCAAATTACAGCTTGATTAAACTCAAAATCGATATTTTTCAGGAAAGGCAAAAAACCATACTTGTATTGATTATTGGTTGTTCGCATTTATTATTAGTACTATTTATGATTTCTAACTTAAGGTATTCATCTAAGCTTTTGTTTGATGGGTATTCGTAAAAAATTCAATTATATTTTCTTTAAATTTTTTTTTTGAGTTGCGTCCTTGTTTATGGGTGCTTAACGTTAATAACACTATTTATGTTAACAAACTTTAAGACATAAAACAACTTATTCCCTTAACTGCGACTGTTCTATGGTTATAACAATACTTATGATTCTAACCACGTCGATAAAATATATAAAATCAGTAAAGGAATAAAACGACAAGTTTTCGTTTGTCATCTATTAACCAATAGCAACACGTCGCGGGAATGACCAATCGTGTCCAGTGGAACAAACGGAAAGCTCAGTTATACCTTTATGGACACTGTGGAATAAGGTAATAGTCGCTTTTAGTCCTACTTTTTTCCCCCGTCATTGTGGAACAATACGAAAAGTGTCTTTATGTAAAAATATATTTGCAGTTATTCGTTAAAACGCGTATGTATTTTTTGTGTTGAGAGCACTTGTACCTTTAGACTCTTAAAAAATGCCCGATAACTAAAGTTATGCCTTTAGAAACAGTGAGTTATGCCCTTAGTGCAATAAAAAAACGACGTTAGGAGACTACTAGAGAGGCGTCCTTTTGATATGTTATGTAATCGGACTCGCTGAAGCCAATGGTGCAATAAAAACAAAAGGGCTCTTATTCCGTTTTTCACCGGAGGCACTGATATTCATAATTGGTTTCTCGTAGTTCATATAAATTGTATGATTTTCATGTAATAAAAGCACTTTTGACGTATCACATCACTCACTTTGACGTAATTGTGTTTGAAGAAAAATTGATAGTAATTTTAAATTTATATATATTGTAAAAATACACAAGGTTTTATTGACACGTCATAGATTTGAAATAGAATTAAAAAATCAATTCCAATCATTTCCTACAACATTCCCCATTGCCATGCAGATATCACTGCCTAGCACATGTTACGATCTTTCAACACGCGTCAATGCTTTCTTACACGCTCGTCGGGTAGGGGAACTTGACCTAACCATTTTTTAGGACGTACTTAATTTGGTATATATGTATATGTATCATAATTATCTTTAGAGTAACATAAGTAGGCAAGTAAGTAAGTACATTATCTTTTTAGGAAAACCCACAGATATCTAATTATTTAATCTCTTAAAAATCTTGTGCAACAATTTACATATATTTATAAATAATACAAGTAGCGGTGGCTAATTGGTTATTCTTATTAAAAAAGCAACTGTAAATTTTTAAACATTTGTGGTCAAATACCAAATTTTAAGTAATATTTCCCCAATAAAGGTACTTTGAGATGGTAAAGATAATGATCTCAGTACAAAATACTGAAAAAACCGGCCACAAAAGTCATTCATCCCCTGAATGCCACCCTTAGAAGTGGAATATTTTCTTCTTAAATGAGAGTTTTACTGAGGTACCCTCTTTCCAACAAAAAAAGAATCATCAAAATCGGTTCACAAATTGCAGGAGTTATCGCGTAACATACATACAAAAAAAACTGTCGAATTGAGAACCTCCTCCTTTTTAAAAGTCGGTTAAAAAAATAAACACAAAGCTTTATTTAACTACCTCCGTGGCCGAACGGTTACCATGCCGGACTGCCACGCAGAGGTTCCAGGTTCGATTCCCGGGCCGAGAGAAGTATTTGTATGACCTACATTTATTTCTCTCGTGAGTTTGGGTGTAATTTGTGGTTGTCTGTGTGTGTGTCCATGGCACTCGCGACACAGGGTTCCCTGGTGCGGGGCTATGTTGAGTGTGTGCGTTATAATTATTATTATATTATTATTTATTTGTAATGCTAGCGAAAACGAAAACACCTGATATAAAAAAGGGATGGATGGGAAAAGTATAAGACTGATTGGACACTGGAGAAGCAGTAGTAACAGTAGAGCTCCTTCTCCAGGGAACTACTGCCACTTTATCTATTTCTGCCGCCAAGCAGTGATGTCAGCATTACTGCGTTCCGTTTTTTAAGGGTAACGTTGCTATTGTAATACAGACCATATGGGAATTGTCAATTTATGTATCAAGTTGACGCGCGCAGTATTAGCAGTGCCCCTCAGGACTTTGCGTTTTAGAGCTCTGGGCAGCACTGCTTTGAACCCTTACCACCAGGCACACGACTT